AAAAACGAGCAGGTAACTTGTGGCTACATGTAGGTACCTGTATTTGGATGCTGTTGTCTAGTTGTATAAACCAGAGGGTAGTAACCTGTACCTCTGTCATACGTTCAGTTACTTACACACCACAAATTGTTGTGTGTCACTAACCTTTGTAATAATTGTGACAGGTGGCATTACCAAGAGACTTTTGGTGCGCGATTTCAACCACTTTTATGAGGCGCGATGATGCACGCACCATGGCACAATTTGGGGTGCGCGGTGGAGTGCGGGCGCGATCGTGCCGCTTAAAAATGAAAGCCTGGTACCTATTTAAATTAAATATATACATACAGTATTACAGTGACACGCATGCATGCACGCACGCACACATATACATATATAAATTAATCATGCAGATATTATTATTTGAATCTGTGCAGAAACTGCATTGATGATTAAATTTGCATCGCCACGCATTATAATCAAAGCAGTGGACATTTAACAGTATACGGCTGAGTATCCACTTCCGCTATTTTACCATAGAGTAGGCCTACTTCTGACTGGCTAGTATATATATTTATGTATGTGTGTAATACCGTCGAACGACAGATAAGTAAATATATAGGAATAACCTATTGTTCTGGGTTGGCATACATGGCCAGCTGTGTAAAGTTGTAACGCGGGAATAGACAGGGTAGAATTAGCCAATTATAGACAGTAATGTAGTACGGGCTGACCATAAACAATAGGTAGGTGTGTCTACCTATGTGAGTATATATAACCGCGTGTTTCAACCAGAGAGAGGAGAACAGAGCAAGAGTTAGAGACATCTTACAGACTAGACGATACTGGTTCGAGCCAGCTAACTCACATCCTCAACCGCGTAAGTTAAGTGATGTTACTCGCGTACCTCGACTGTACGCATGCGTCCCGATATGGGCGAATGCATAGCTAAGTCTGTACAATTAAAGAGATAACTGTATACGTTCATCATAGTCGTTGTGTTATCTTATTATCTGCATTCACATAGACGCTAGCAAGGGTGTACTACACACACTCACGCGTAACCACTCATACGATCACGGGTAGCAATAGGCATCCCTATATGTGTGTATATGTATGTTAGTATATTATGAATGTGTTCAAAAGGTTTTGTATTGGAAACGTGATTCACGGAAAATAGCTTTCTATGATCAAATGGGTACAGCGGCTACAGCCTACAATTTACAAATCAAATGTGTAGACCCCTAGAAATAAATGGGATTTGAACCCAAGTTTTCTAGATAGCTAAACCTTACCTTATGGGATTCGAACGTAATGTTGATGACATCATAAATATCCTAATCAATCGAATGTGGTGTACGGTAAAATGGCAGAAGTGGATACTCTGCCGTATACGGTTAAATATCCACTGCCTATAGAGAGTTCCGCGTCTTGGACTAAAAATAGCAATATTACCTACAATCCCGTGCCGCCGGCCATACCGGTTACAAACAGAGAGAACATGTGTGGCGTGTAATCTGTAGACTGGTACTCGCTCCCACCTCTCGGCTTAGTT